GACACGACCCCTACGTACCAGCAAACGGCAAGCCTAGTTCCGGAGTGGTGACAGACTTGCCGGTACGGATAACAATATATATACTATATATTTATTTATATATTAGTATATGTATACAAATATATATATATACTATATAATAAATATAGAATATGAATTTTCTTCGCTTTTTGTGATTTTTTATCATTTGAATTTAGAAAAAATCTATTTTTGAAAAATTATTAAAATGAAACACATTTCTGTTAGATTTGTTAAGCATAATTTAAGAGGTTATCAAAAACATAATATTTGTGTTTTAAAATTCAAAAATCCTGATATTACTAATGATGTTTTAGCTAAAAAATATAATGTTTATATTAGTACAATTTCAAAAATTTTAAAGAATAGTAAATATTGGCTTAATATTGCCCTTAACAGTATTGAAGCCAAAAGCAAAAAAAATAGAAAACCTAAGTATCCTTTAATGAAAAAACTATTAATGACTTGGGTTGATAATGCACTTGAAGCTGATTTAACTATTACTGGTTTCATTTTAACTTACCAGGCTCAAGAATTTGCTAGAATTCTTAAAATTAAAGACTTTAAAGCATCAGATTAATGGTTAACTAACTTCAAAAAAAGAGCAAATTTAAAACAATTTGTTTATTCTGGAGAAAAAAATAGTGCTCCTTTGAAAAAGCTTCCTAAATATAGAGAGAATTTAAAAAATGTGTTAAAAAACTGGTCATTGGAAAATATATATAATGCTGATAAAACAACATTATATTGGAAAATGGAACCAATCAAATCTTTAGCAAAAGAAACAATTATTGGAAAAAAAAACAAAAACAAAGAGTTACAGTACTTTTATATTCCAATGTTACAGGTATTAATAATTAATTTGATTTATAAAAATCTTTATATACTAATATAGAAATTTTTTTAAGTACTGATAAAATTAAGCCTTTGGTGATTTATCTTTATCAAAAATCTCGTGCAATATTAAATATAAAAAGGGAAGATTTGCCTGTTAATTATTATTGGAACTCAACTGCATGGATGACTACTATTATCTGGAATAAATTTTTGGAAAATTTAAATCAACAGATAAAAAATAACAACAAAAATATTATTCTTTTATGTTATCAAGTATCTCCTCATCATAATGAAAATAGTTTAAAAAATTTATCAAATATTACAGTACATTTTTTGCCACCTAATACAACAACTCATTTACAATCTATAGATGTTGAAATTATTCGCTCATTTAAGGTAAATAATATAATTTTATATTAATTATTTAAAATATTGAATTTATATTTTAATTTATAGGCCCACTATAGAAAATTACTTATAAAGTTTATGGTAGACCAGTTTAATTTGACTTACAATACTCAAACCAAACCTAAAGAAATTGATATAGGACATGCATTAAATTGGATTAATAAAGCATGGATTAATGTTTCCAAAGATACTATGTATAATTGTTGGAAAACAACTGAAATTATTTCTTCATGTTGTTAGCATAATAATTACATGGGTGGGAAAGAGGCATGACAGAACAGGGGATAAGGGTATAGGGTTGGATACCAGGTTTGGTGCGGCTCAGGGTCAGATACATCAGATTATGCATCAGTGGAGGGCTAAAAGTATGTGAAAGCTTGTTGTAAAACTTGCAGAACATGATGATTGATTTGAGAATATGTCACAAGCAATATAAATAGCTGTAGAGTAGAATCAAAATGTAATAATTGACAATTGCTAAATAAAGAAGTCACTGCTTAATTAAAATACCTAAACTTGTAAATTTGTGCAACAGTTTAATTACAAACTTACCTTTCTTGTCTGCAGATTGTTGATCGTATAGTAGATTAACAGGGCCTAGGATCAAGTTAGGGTAAAATAATTAAGGACACTATAAGACAAGGCTGCGGTATCCAAGAGTCAAGCAAGGGCCTGATAAGTCTATCCTATTATAAGGCGAGGTCCAGTCCCGGGTTAGCGACAGACTCACCGGTAGTGATAACAATACGTACCTGATATAATGAATTCGCCTTAAAGAGTATTGTTATTGAGTTTACGAGATTGCGATCTAAAGGTCTAGGATACTGATGTTAAAACAGAGTTGCATAACTTGACTTCATTTTGAAACTGCTAGAGCCTACGCTTTATGCTTCCTGAAAGTCCATATGAACCCAAATGTTCTGAGATTTTTATATATGACGATATAAGATTTTACAAATAAAGACTTCTGTCTTATAAGGTCCTAATATTGTGTATTAGAATGAGAGGTTATAATATTCAATTGCTGGTAGTATTATAATGAACTGTAAATTATAAACTTACATTTGTTATATCGATGCGTTATTAGCATGTAACCTTTTTTTTTTCTCACTTTGAAATAAATTCCTTTCAATTAAATTGATATATTTATATATGCAAAGTAAAGAATGAGAATAAATAACAGAGCTACCGTACAACAGCAAAGGAGAAAACGTGAGTGAGATGAAAAGAAAAAAACAAATAAAAGAGCCACCACACAGCAACAGTAAAGAAGGCGTGAACGATTATCCACTATTAAACTATATATCAACCCAACTATGTCTCACCAAAACCAAGATAATATGCAACATGACCTCAGTCGCATAAATATAGAGTGTAGTCATTGCGGCGCACTCCATTGGTTAGATGAATGCTTAATAAATTCTTCAAGAAAAAATCTAAAATTTGAATTATGTTGTCTAAATAAAAAAGTTGTCCTTCTCCTCCTTCGTGATCCTCTGCCTTTTTTACGAATGCTCTTTGATAGTAAAGCTGACCCTTGTCCAGAATTTTGCAAGAACATTCGCCAATATAATGCAGCACATGCGTTTACATCATTAGGTGCAAAAATTGATGTAAACATTCTGCAAGGGCATAATTCATATAGCTTTGGCATTCACAGAGAGCTGCGCCACCTTTTGGGAGCTCTATTACCAAATGCAGATCAAGAAGCTACTTATGCTCAACTTTATATATATGACCCCGATGTTTCTCTTTAAATAAGAATAGGACGTAATAAAGGTTTATCGGCACAAATAATGTAGGAAATACAGGAAACTTTATAAAAAAGTCATGCATTCTATCCACTTTATCAACAGGCACATAAAATTCTTCTTCAAGCCCATGAAGATGGTACTGATGAAGATGTAGCAATCTATCTCCACCACAAAAACATGACAGATAAGCATCACTATAATCTCCCTATGATAAACAAGGTAGCTATTATTCTACCAGGCGATGAATCAGTACCAGACGATGTGTGATATTATCATTCAATTGTGTAAAGATTTACTTGAACGTATTCATGAAAGGCATCCAGCATATTTGCCACTGCATTATGTGCTTCTTTTCTCACATAATAAACTTGGATGGCATAAAGGATTGTGTCATGTATTGACAGATACTGAGGAACAGCAACTTGATAATCAGAACAAGCATTCTCGCCTTACACAAATGAACTTCTATTCTTTTCATATCTTTCCACGCAAAACTGAATTCTCAACAATCCTTCAAGGTGAAAAGTTACTCCATGAGTTCATGGTTGATACATGGGCAGCAACAGAGCAAAATTAGTTAAGGTACTTGCATATGAATCAAGATACATTGCATGCTGACATTTATCAAGGGCTTGCTGACGCTGCAGAAAATATTATAAATGGGGAGCTAATGCCTAATAATCTTGGACATCGAGTAATTCTTCCCTTCACACATATTGGCAGTGCACGTCACATGTTTGAGATCTTTTAGGATTCCATGGCTATTACTCAATTTTATCAACACCCTGATATCTTTAAAATCATGACTGCAAACTCGAATTGATCAGAAATTATCAATGAGTTGCTACCTGGTCAGACTTCGGTGGACTGACCAGACTTGATAGCACACGTATTTGAGTTAAAACGTTGTTCTCTTCTTCACGATATCAAGGAAAATAACATTTTTGATAAAGCAGTCGCTCATGTCTATACAATCAAATTTCAAAAATGTGGCCTTCCTCATATACACTTTTTGATCTTTTTATGCAACGACTGCAAAATCAAGGAACCTGCAGATGTTGATCGTATTGTGTGTACAGAGTTCCCTGACAAGAAGACAGATCCGATGCTATTTGATATCATATTACGTTATATGGTCCATGGGCCTTGCAGTGTTTCTAACCCACGAGCTTCATATATGGAACATGACAAATATAAAAAAAATTATCCAAAAAACTTCCATAACGTAACATCCATGAATGAAGATAGATACCCCCACTATGCTAAAAGAGAGGATGGACAGATATTTAATATTGGCAATAAAACTGTTGATAATTGGGATATAGTACCTTACAACTTGACTCTCAGCCGTAAATACAATTGTCATATTAATATTGAGATCTATGCATCTATACGTACCATCAAATACATTCACAAGTACATCTACAAAGGTCATGACCAGACTACAATGAAATTCGAACAAGAACCTGATGAGATCAAACAGTACATCGATGCAAGATATGTTAGTGCACCCGAAGCCGCGTGGCATCTTTTTGGCATGAAAATGCACAAAGAGGTATCAAATATAGTGCGATTGGCATTACATCTTCTGGGAATGCATAGTGTCATCTTTGATCCTAATGATGATGCTGCACATGTTCTTGCCCATGCTAACTGACAAAAAACTACTCTTATAGCTTTCTTTGAGACGTGCACAACTATTGATGTAGCCTGCCAGTATACGTACCAAAAATTCTCTCAACATTTTGTTTGAAACAAAAAGGACAAAAAATAGACAATACGAAAGCAAGGATTAGCTATCGGTAGACTATATTTTGCTAATCCATCTGCAGGGGAAATCTTTTACCTTCAGCTTCTTCTCACTGTTGTTCGTGGTTCACAATCGTTTAATTACTTAAAAATGGTCAATAATATTGCCCACCCAACATTTAAAGATGCATGTCTAGCCCTGGGTTTATTAGAGGACGATAAAGAATGGATCCAGTGTCTAGAAAAAGCTGCAGGCATGTGTAGTGACTTTCAACTGAGGTTACTTTTTGCTGTTATACTTATACATTGCACTCCGACTCAACCTCAAGATTTATAGTTACGCTTTTGTGTTAATCTCTGTGATGATCTTCTTTATCGTCTAAGTAATGAACATGCTATTCATGAACCTACTGAGAGTCAAATATTTGATTTTAGACTTTTTCTCCTTGACAACATTCTGCATGATTTTAATCAACATCTTGGACATGTTCTCCTCGATGCCTCTTTGGGAGTATAACTGGAATAATTATTAGAGAAACTGTTTCATTTCTGAACATTTAAATTGGAATCAAAATGAGCTTCGAAATATGGTTGACAATCTTATTTCTCAGATGAATAATGAGCAGCATACAGCATATCAAGACATTTTCAACTCTGTAACTGAACAACATAGTAAATTATTTTTTCTTAATGGTCCTGCTGGAACTGAAAAGACTTTTGTATATAATATCCTTGCCATGAAGGTTTGTAGTGAAGGCATGGTTGTAATTTGTGTGGCTTCCTCAGGCATCGTCACTTTTTTGCTCAGTGGTGGTCGGACGGCTCATTCAACATTCAAAATTCCCATCAACGTCAATGATAGTTTATTTTGTTCAATTGAAAAAAACTCTGCTCATGCTGATTTAATATGTTGCACATCCCTTATTATTTTGGATGAAGTACCAATGCAACATCATTACTGTGTTGAGGCAGTTAATCGCACCTTACGAGATATTCATGATGATCAATGTTCATTTGGAGGAATTACAGTTGTATTCAGTGGCGATTTCTGTCAAACTTTACCTGTTGTTATTAAGGGCTCTCGGGAACAAGTTATAGATGCTTCACTCCAAAGATTGCAGTTATGGAAACATGTTAAAGTATATACATTAAAGAAAAATATGCGTCTTGAGAGTGAATCAAAAGAAAATAAACAATATGCACAATGGCTTTTAGATGTAAGAATTGTAGACATCTCTTTTACCATTATATTTGGTATTATATGAATATTCTTTTACTTCATGTTATAGGTTGGAAATGACGTTAATGAATCTAAAGTTGCCATTCCAGAAAACATGAGAGTTAGTCCTGATTTAAAATCTCTTATCGACGCAGTTTATTATAACATCAGCGTCAAAGGTATATGTACTAATCAATATCTTAAGGACCGGATAATACTCTCCTTACACAATGATGATGTTGATGCTATTAACTGTACCATTCTTAACATCTTTCCTGGAAATAAATGGACATATTTAAGTTCAGATAATGTTGTTATAAAGAAAGGTGCTGATAATATTGGAAATATTTATCCCGTTGAATACCTGAATTCTTTTAATCCTGCCAGTATGCCACCGTCGAAACTTGATCTCAAGATTGGATGTCCCATCATACTTCTTCACAACCTTTTACCTTATCAGGGTCTCTGCAATGGTTCTCGCTTAGTCATAACAAGGCTTACAGATCATATAGTTGAAACTTGCATTTTATGCAGTGTTTATGTCGGCAAATTAGTTTTTATTCCCTGAATATCTCTTACTCCTTCTACTTCAGAACTTCTGTTTACTTTTAGACGCCGCCAGTTTTCCATTCATCTAGCTTTCGACATGATTATAAAAACAAGTCACATGGCCAATCTGTAAAACATGTTGGGTTAGATCTTAAAACACCTGTTTTCTCTCATAGGCAACTTTACGTAGCTCTTTCTCAATGTACTTCTTCATGTTTTATGAAAGTTTTCCTTTGTGACGACTTCACCTCAAATATAGTCTATCTCGAAGTATTATTAGATTAGTAGTAGTAATATTAGATAGTTATTTTTCTGATCGACGTGTCATTGTGTCATTTGTACATAATTATGGTAACGGAGCCCATGTAATCGTCCATGCTCAATGGCAAAATTCTCAGAAAAGCGGATTAAATAAATTATCGATCAAAAATTTTATAGACCGTAAGTTTTTACAAAATTTATTTATATATTTTTTGAGCAATTAGTTGAGTAACTATATTATAATTGTCAACTTTATAGGGAGTAAGCTTTCACAGGAATTCTTTCACAAGTATATTTTCGTTTTTCATATATTTGTTGTAAATTCTTAAGAAAAAGTTGATTAACTATATCTTCGATTATCAACCTTGCTTTCAGGGGATTAATTGGAAAAAATTATTATTCATCAGCAATATGACAGGTTATCTACTAGTTTATATATAAGTTTTTATTAATAAACCTCTGAAACAATTTATTTTCAAACATTCAAAAAAGAATTTTTTTGAACAATAAACTTTAATAAACTAAGAACAATGAACTTTTAAGAACAATTATTGACAAACTTATAAAAATAAACTTTTAAACAATGAACTTTTTGATAAACTTTTAAGAACAATTTATTGACTAGTTTTCAAAAAAATAAACTTTTAAGCAATGAGCTTTTTGATAAACTTTTAAGAACAATTATTGAAAATAAACTTTTAAAAGTGAACTTTTTTTGAAAAACTTTTAAGAACAATTTATCAACTAGTTTTCAAAAATACAAACCTTAAGCAACAAACTTTTTGATAAACCTTTAAGAACAATTATTACAAACTTATAAAAATAAACTTTAAATAGCAAACTTTTTTTAAAAAACTTTTAAGAATAATTTATGACTAGTTTTCAAAATAAACTTTTAAATAGTGAATTTTTTTTTGATAAACTATTAGAACAATTATTGAAAAATTTTCAATAATTAACTTGATATCAAACTTTTGTAAACTTTTGTTCAATTAATTATTAAAAACAATTTAATTAATAATAATTGTATAATAAAAAGTTTAAAAAATAAGTTTCAGTAAAGCTTTTGAATAATAATTTAACTTTTATTAAAGTACATAATAGATTTTTAATATATAAACCATTAAAAATATTAAATAAAATGTTAAAAAATTCCAAAATTTAAAATGAGAAAAAAGTGACAAATCAATCAAGTTCCAAGAATTTCAAAATGAAGTAAAATTATTTATTAGAAAAAATTATACTTTAATTATTTTTTAAATAACTTTAAAATAAATTTTTGTCTGCTCCTTCACGAACAAAAATGACATTATCGAAATTTCTATTGAATCTTTATCAGAACTTGAATTAGAAGAAGTTGCTGAATCCTTAATGTCACATAGAGTTTTAGAATTAATAGATAGTAAAAAAAATGATAAAGAAATTTTAGGTAAAGTTGATTATTATTAGGTTTTAATATAATAAATATAATTAACAATGATTTTTATTTTAAAAATTAAATAATCAGCAAATAAATGTTCAAAATAAGCAAATTTCAAGCACAGTTAATAAAATGGATAGCATTTTAGAAATATGTAACTGGCTTGTAAAACATCCATATGTATTGCAACTAGCAAATCAAATGTACAATGTTTCTTTATCTCCTATCTCCCATTCCGATTCATTTAATAAATCTATATGCTGCTTCAACAATTCCTTAAAAGATTCAAACAATAATATGGTATTTATAAAAATTATTAATTTTTAATTAAAAATTTAATTAAAAATTTATCATTATTTATTAGGATAATATTCATTTATGGGATGAAGAAATAAAATGTCTTTTTTTTTAAACAAGAAATTTAACTTTAGCAATTATCGAATAATTTGTCAAAAAACCATTTGGCTATTCCCCTATACACAAAAAGCATAGGAAATCCAGAGTTGAACTAAAAAAACTTTGAGAGATTTCCACCATAAATTTAATAGTTCTATAATAAATCTTGTTAAATTCTTTAAGGAATCACAAGAAAGGTATAATAATTAATGTTGATATTTTTTAAAAAATTAAGATTTATTTATTTTTTTTTGATTTTTTTTTTAGAAAAGAAACAAAATCAATAACAAACAAAGATATAAAAATTTTATTGATGAAAATATCATATTGAATATTTTAAGACAATATATATTAGCAACTAATGAAGCCAAACTTAGAAGATATGAATCTTTTGAAAAATTAATATTATTAGTTTGCGAAACATTTAAGATTTATTGGAAAGAAAAAAATATAGAGTAAATGTAAAATTTTATTTATCAAAAATCAAAATTTTATTATCAAAATTAAAATTTTTAATATTTTCCTAATAAAGAGTCATCTCTTGATACATTAAATTTATAAAAATCTAAATTTAATAAGATTGCGACATTCCACTCTTTGTTGGTAACAATATTAAAATCAATGGTATATAAATCATTATTTAAATTATAAAATAATGATTGTACATTCAAAAACAAAAACTCTCTTTCTCAAACAAATCTGCGTCTGAATAAAACTATCAAAAAAGGCAATTAAAAATTTTTACTTCAAAAAAACCATAAAGGACCCTGGAGGGTCTTCATATCCCTTCAAGGGTCAACCTATCGAACCAACTCACACTTTACTTGATGTTCTCATCACTGACGTTGACAAATGCCTAGTTGTAATCTTTTACAAAAATAACAACACCAATATTGTATACACTACTAATTCTATTACCAACACCCATCTTCTGAAATTTGAAAACCTCCAAAGCATGGCTAACACCAGTACGTCTACAAGAAAATAGTCACAAAGTCCTTAAAGTAATCTCAGTCTCCTTTGAAGTACACAAAAAAAGACTGAAAAACCACTACACTAAAATCAAAACCAATATTTTAAATTCAGTGCCCTTGGAAACAATGAACTTCTTCTTTGAATACCGACATACCTTCAGCTTATCTAACAATGACAAAGCAGGAATTATAAAGGAACTAATCAAACAGAAACTCACTTATAGACTCCATGTCTCTTGGAACAAAATTGACATCAATATTGATGAAGCAGCCAAAACATTCTCCTTGGAGCGAAAAACTGAAATGCCCATATTCCCTCCAAACACCTTTGCCCTAAGTGGGGAAAGGATCAATGACAATAGTATGCAGTTTGATTGTAAAAATGAAGCAACACATGCAAGTATCCCTGAGCACAATGCCAATCAGTCCAGCCCTCATGCAGCATCCCCTGAGCACAATGCCAATCAGTCCAGCCCTTATGCAGTGTCCTCTGAGCACAGCGACAATTAATTTAACACCAGCACAACACCAAATAAAAATCTCACATTCAATACACCATTTAAGGTTATAGTATGCCCAACCATCACCAACCACAAGAACCAGGACAACCAGTCACAACAAACATGGAAATTGATGAACACCCCTCTCCATCCCAATTAGTGAAAACCCTGGAATTCCTTCCCACTTCCTGGATTGACGAAACTAACAAAGTGTTAGAAGCATCTCAAAACAACAACAACATTAGTCTCCTGATATCAGAAGTACTACCCAACTTAATAAACAAGAAAAAATTCTAAAACTATGCAATAAAATTAATAATTGTGACAGAAATGCCAAATTAATTGTCAGTCTTTTTCTTAAAATTAAAAGCAAAGTACCAGGCACTCCAAGAACCTCCCTCAAAGAAATATTCTCCAAAATTAAACACAGGGATTGTGACTTTTTCAGAACTTTCACGAAAGATGAACCAATCAAGGGGCAACATCAGAAAGAATATAAAAAGCTTGAAAAACAGTTCCATACTAACTACTGTCAGACTAATAACCTGGAATATATTACTTGAACCAACAGAAACAAGATTAAAAAATCATCAACAAAGCACTCTTAGTTGCTTATCTCAGATCAACTGACTACACACTCCTCAAATATTGGCAAGTAGTATAACTCTTAGAATATGGTTTTAATTTTTTCCTTGATCCCTCCTTCAAAAAATAGATTATCAGAAACTTTACGAAATGTGCAAAGAGCGCATCTAAAGAGACCTTCCAGCATTACCAGATAACCCCAAGGACATCTCAACCTCAATCAAAATCAGAATTCCTAAGAGCATTTCAATTACTTCAAGAAACAATACAAGTGAGGTCACAGGTAGCCTCAGGGCTTTCTATAACTTTGACACCCTATCCACTTTATACTTTGTCAAAAAATCTGACTTACCTGACAAACCTGAAGATCTTTCATCAGAATTTGCTAACTGGTTCCCCTTGGTAAAAAGATATGAACTTGCAGATTTCAAATTTTGAGTAGATAAACTCAGAGAACACTACTATGTTCCTAACAAACTACCAGAATCTTACTATGACCTTTCTCTACCAAAGTCACATCTTCCTCCTTTATACAAAGACCTGCTACCTTACCTAGCCAAACACTTCCCAGTGGTTAATACCATAGAAGACTTTAAGAAAGGAGTTCAGCTCCTAAGAGAAAATAATTATGCAGTCAAACACCTTCCCCTAGATTATATCAGAGTAAAGCAGCCACTCCCCCCTTCACACTGGTACAGTGAAAACAACTCTATTTTTTTTTCAGCCACTACACAAGAGAAGGCAGATAATCTCATTGAAGACTTAAAAAATAAATTCCACGTAAAACTTTCTCTAGGCCCAGAATGGATCAAGGACAATCTCATCCAATCAAACAAGCCCAAGCTATCAGAGGATTTTACAGCAATCGAAATAGAATTTGATATCACCAAAGAGCACCTGAATAGAGATTCCCCAGAATTCAAACAAACAATCACAAAGATCAAAAACAAATA